GATGAGTACTCCAGACAATGCAGCAAAGCTGCAGTTGCTAGGGGGAGAGCCGCAGGCAGCAGAGGCTGTTTGGAGACAAGGCCAAGGGAAAAGTCTTGTCTTCTCCTTTCCTTCCCATTCCCTTCCCTTTGCTTTTTTCTCTCTCCTCTTTTGAGCAAAGACATCATAGTCAATAACCCCTTCTAAAAGATCAATCTTAATCTCTGATAGAGTTTAGGTCACCCTGGATCCAAAGGGTTATTTCTGAAGAACACCCTCATCAGCCAAACTACTCTCAGTGAGGTGACCTCCTGGGTTTTAACTATGGCTCTGCCACTAGATAGTCATTTGACCTTAGGTGAGTAAGTTATTTTCCTCTGGGCCTCAGGTTCCCCATCTGTGAAGTACAAGGGCAGAGGGAATGCTTGTGTGTTCTGTGTAGGTCCAGCCCTAATATTTCAGAAGGAGACTGCCAGGGATTTAGAGAATAAAGCAGCATCAACCGGTAAAATCTCCATGACTTTCCTTCTATTTCACCAAGGCCCTGGAGCCCCTTCACCTTGGAGCTACACTGTTTCCCCATAGGTCTTTGGCTTGCTCTCCTCTGGCTATTTAAGTAGTGGTAAAGGTGGAATTTCTATCCACCCACCTGAGTAGATGTGAGGTGCCCTGAGTATCTGCCTTGCCAGGTAATCTAACTTTTAGCATTGTTCCTTTGTTGTAGAAAAGGCCAGCGACAGGACCTAAAAGTCTGATTATTTATTTTTCAAGTCCAGTATCTCTCTGGGACTCTGCTAGTCGCCCCTGCCTTGGGGATGATTAAGTGATGATTTAAGCAACAAGTGCGCCCCCTGGTGACCTATATAAAAATTGCAGAAAGACTCAGCCATTCAACAAGCACTATTGATTGAATTTAAATCCTGCTGCCTAACCCTCGAGAAAAGATAAAAGAAATGTGCATAAATGTCGTGTAAAGGAATATACATGTATTTCCACTCCCAGAGCCAACTTTTGCCCATTTGGCATGTCCACCTCTTGTCCCTCAACTCGTTTTAATTTTTAAAAATTGATTCTAGAGAAAGGGGAAAGGAGAGAGAAAGAGAGGGAGGGAAACATTGATCTGTTGCCTCTTGCATGTGCCCTGACTGGGGAGCAAACCCACAGCCCAGGCATGTGCTCTGACCTGGAATCAAACCCTCAGCCTTCTGGTTTGCAGGATGACACCCAAACAATGGAGCCGCACCAGCCAGGACTTGCTCTCAGTTCTTGACGTAGCAGTTGCTCTTGGGTAAAGCAGCGGCTTTCAACCTTTTTCATTTCATGGCACACGTAAACTCGTTACTAAAATTATCCTTTCTCCTAAGATGTCAATTATCTGCAAATTGATTAAGAGATTCAAACCAATCACAGACAAAATTTCATCAGGGTTTTTATAGCTGTTTGAAAGCTTTTCCCTAAAATTTGTATAGAAACATAAAAAAAAACTTAGGTAGCTAAAACAATTCTGAGGCAGAAAAACAAAATGAGAGGATATATACTACCTGATAGATTACCACAAAGCTAGGTCGTCACAGCAGTGGGTGCTGGTTTGAAGAACACACCAGCAATTGGCACACTTACTTCGTAAAGGGCTAGCTGGTACATATTTTCATTTCTGTATCAGCTACTCGGCTCTGCTGATGTAGCATGAAAGTTGCCACAAATAATAAGTAAACAAACAGGCATGGTTATTTTTCAATAAAACTTTATTTATAAAAAACAGGCAGTGAGCTGGATTTGGTCCATAGGCTGACTCCTGGAATAGACTGATAGAACAGATCAGAATGGCCAGAAGTATATCCATGTTTATAAGGATGGTTTTTGACACAGGAGCTAAATGATTCAATCATGGGCAGAGGGATGTCTTTTCAACAAATGTGCTGGACAACTGGATAACTCTGGGAAAAGAATACGCCTTCTCCCCTACCTCAAACTCTGCACAAAAATGAATCTGAAATGGTTCAGACATCTAAAAGTAATGTTGCTTTTTTCTAGAAAGCAAAAATTATACTACTGTTAGAAGAAAACATTGGAGAATATCTTTGTTTCCTTGGGAGTAGGCAACGGTTTCCTAGAATGCAGAAAGCACTAACCATAAAAGAAAAAAAAAGAATAAATTTGGTTTCATAAAAAACAAAAACGTCTGCCCATCAAAAGATACTTTAAAAATGAATAGGCAAGTACCAGTCTGGAAAAAAGTATTGGCAATGCATAAGTCTGAGAAAGGATTTTTATTTAGAATATATGAGGAACTCCAACAAATCCATGTAAAGAGATGAACAACCCAATAGAGATGGATGGCAAACTAGAACAGGCACTTCAAAAAAACATATACAAATGGTCCGACGCACAGGAAAAGATGTACCCTCTTTTAGGGGAAAAATTGGGATGTTTCAGGTATAGGTGAAATAGGTACACCGCATTTAGGAGGTGGGTGACTTGGCTTTATTAGCGTTATTTGGACTTAATTATGGTTTAATGAGGTGTTTATGGGTGCCAAGTTGACAAGGGGTAGACTGTGATGTGTTTGAAAGTGTCATCTTGTCAGCTTGGGCTAGGCTGAACTATGTTTCCCAGAATTCCTTTCCCTTCTGTGCATGTGTCCCGTCAAGGGGTGCATCAACAGATAATTTGCAGGGTTCCGGACAAGATGGAGGTGTAGGTAGAAACCCTTTGCTTCCTCGCACAACCAAAAGGAGGATAACAACCAATCTAAAATCAGTAAACAACCAGAAGCACCAGAAAATCAAACTGCATGGAACTCTGACAACCAAGGAATTAAGGAAAAAATCAACCAGAACAACCAGACTGGTAAGGTGGTGGACAGCGCAGGCCGGCTCAGAAGAACTGCAGCTGGCTGGCTAAAGGCGAAACTGAGACTCAGAGTTGACTATGGACTATAGTGGCGGTTGCCGTGGTGGGAGAAATCCCAGTCTCACATGGCAGCTCATTGAAAAGTGCACTAGAGACAAGCAGGCGGGCTGCCCTGTTCCCTCTCTGGACCCTCCCTTACCCACAGCACAGCAAAGAAAGTTGCTCTGCCTGGGTGAAGACCTAAGGCCCCACCCCTTACAACCTGTCAGGGGCCCCGAATGAAGAAATATGGTCCAAATGAAAGAACAGAGCAGAGCAGAGCTTCAGAAAGAGAGCTAAGTGATGAGGAGATAGCCAGCCTGTCTGATGGAGAATTTAAAGCCCTGACCATCAAAATACTCACAGAACTGATTGAGCTTGGTGAAAAAATGAAAAAGAAAAACAAAAAAACAAAAACAAATAAAAGATACCCAAAATGAAATCAAGCAAAATATTCAGGGAACCAACAGTGACAGGAAGGAAACCAGGACTCAAAGGAATGATTTGGAGCAAAAAGAAAAAATAAACATCCAACTGGAACAGAATGAAGAAACAAGAACTCAAAAAAGTGAAGACAGTCTTACAAACCTTTGGGACAACCTGAAACGTCCCAATATCCGAATTATAGGGGTGCTAGCAGGAGAAGAACAAAAGCAAGAAATTGAAAACTTATTTGAACAAATAATGAAGGAAAACTTCCCCAATCTGGCAAAGGAAATAGACTTCTGGGAAGACCAGGAAGCCCAGAGAGTCCCAAAGAAGTTGGATCCAAAGAGGAACATACCAAGGCACATTATCATTAAGTTACCCAAAATTAAAGATGAAGAGAGAATCCTAAAAGCAGCAGGAGGAAAGTACAGAGTTACTTACAAAGAAGTGTCCATAAGACTATCAGCTGATTTCTCAAAAGAAAGCTTGGAGGCAAGAAGGGGCTGGAAAGAAGTATTCCAAGTCATGAAAGGCAAGGACCTACATCCAAGATGGCTGTATCCAGCAAACCTATCATTTAGAATGGAAGGGCAGATAAAGTGCTTCCAAGATAAGGTCAAGTTAAAGGAGTTCATCATCACCAAGCCATTATTATATGAAATGTTAAAGGGGTTTATCTAAGAAAAAGAAGATAAAAATATGAACAATAAAATGACAACAAACTCACAACTATCAACAGATGAACCTAAAAGAAAAGAAAAACAATGAAAACAAAAACTAAGCAAGCAACAACTAGAACAGAAACAGACTAAGAGAAATGGACATTGCATGGAGGGGTTTCAGTGGGGAGGGGGAAGGGAGGATTGGGGGGAAGGTACCAAAAAAAAACAGAATTAGTAAACACAAAATAGATGGGGAGAGATAAAAAATGGTATAGGAAACATAGAACTCAAATAACTTATATGAACAACCCATGGACATGAACTAAGGTGGGGGATGCTGGAGGGTTGGGAGAGCAAGGCAGAGAGGAGAAAAAGGGGTAAAAACTGGGAAAACTGTAATAGCATAATCAATAAAAACACTTAAAAAAAGAGAAGGCATTGCCATGAATTTATAGAACTATTCCCCCAACAATGGAATTAGAACTGTAACATAAACTGTATAATCCCAGAAGATCTTGTTATTGTTAGAGAAAATATTAAAAATAACCAATCTGAAAAAAAGCAGATAATTTGCCCAAGATTTGGTGGTTGGGAGTGAAGCGGCAGCCATATTGTTCTCGTGCATGGGAGGGTAGTGCGAGGGCACCGGGGGGCTCATGCACACTCCTCGCATTGGTGTGAGGCAGCAGCTGGGTCTGGAGCTGCTCCACCTTCCCTTGGATCCTCCTTCAGTGTCTGACTCTGGACCAGGTGTGGTTTCGCTCCATGATGAGGGCCACCAACTTCTGAAGAACTCTCTCTCATAGTGTCAAAATGAAGGCACTGAGAGAGACTGACATGAATTCCACCGTGGGGCTCAGTTATCCTGGGTTTGAACTCATGCTCCTGCGTTCTCATTTGCCCTGCTGACTTCAAGCTCTAGAATCAGACAAGCAGCAGCCTTACAGAGACAGTTGAACCACATATGAGTGTATATGTACACATATATATAATCTTACACTATATGTTTTACACAGTTATATATGTAAACTTCTGTGACTACTGCTTCTCGGACTGAACCCTGCTTGATGGAGAATCACTACGTGAAACTGCTCCCTGAAGTCCCCCTGGTTTCCTGGGGAAGGCTTCCTCCACTTTCTCCACCTCAGTTCCGTCCTCCAAAGCCTTCTGGAGAACCACCCTGAGGGGCTGCCACAGCTGCCGCTGCTGCCTAAAGGAGCCAACAAAAAAGTAAATGATGGGGTTGGCACTGCTGCTGAGACTAGACAGGACAAACCCAGTCAGTGTCAGAAAGTGTGAAAATGTTTTACTGCAAAGTTCCTGAATCCAGTAACACAGAAACCACTTATAGCCAAAAGGCAGGCCGCAGAGGAAGAAGACCAGCACGGCGAGCAGGATGGCCACGTAGAGCCTGGTGGGCTGCACCCGCTGGGAGCCACACAGCAGTCTGGTCAGCAGAACCAGGCTGGACCCGGAGAGAAGCACACATGAGAAAATCAGCCAGGCGACAATGATGAAATCAAATGCCTGACACCAAGTGTCATTACGAGTCGTCATCAGGAAGCCACAGTAGCTCCCTTCCAGGATGCTCAGCAGCAGGGACAGGGCCCAGAGCAGTGCACACGTGACAGCTGACATGTGTCTGGGGCGGTGGAAGCGGTACCAGATGGGCCACAGGATGGACAGGCAGCGCTCTGTGCTAATGGCACTGAGGAAACTCAGGCCTGCGATGTAGGCAAAGATCGACGCAGTGATGGATATGGGGGTACTACAGGAGTGCTTGATGAATGACCACAGGGAATACATAATCTGGCAGCAGAGGAAGAGGAAGTCGGCTCCCGCGAGGTTGAGGATGTAGACGGAGAAGGCGTTCCTCCTCATGTGGAAGCCCAGGAGCCAGAGCACGGCGGCGTTTCCTGCCAGCCCGACGAGGGCAATGGTGAAGATCAGCCCATCTAGGGTCAGGATCGCCTCTCCACACATAGAAGGGGCCTGGTCACTTCTATTCGTTGGTGTGGGTTCAGTTCCCCAGGTTGTGACAGTCATATTTTTTCTCAGAAACCCTGCAGTGGTGACCCTCAGAAAAACAAACAAAACAAACAAGATTGGAGCACCTGATATGATCACCATTTCTCAGAGTCACCATGCTATGTGGCTGTTATTGTCCCGTGTTGCAGAGGAGGGAAATGGAGCCTTCTAGAGATTAAGATACTTTCCAAAGGTCACACACAGCCCTGGAGTGGTGGAACCTGGGTTCAAACCCAGCTCTCTCTGACTCTGGAGCCTGGATGCCCTCTACTGCCACATAGGCCCTCTGCTGACGTGTGGATGTTCTGTAGTCCTGTCATGCACACCCCTCCCAGCTCCCGCTCACTGTCCAGAGGTAATGTCATGTCCCCACGATTTTCTGAAGAAGGAGATCAATATCTGGGATTGAATCTGAGAGACCGGAAGAAGGCTGTGGGCCCAAGCATTCCTTCTGTCCAGAGCTGGGATTTCCTCCGCAGCTGCATGAAGCCAGAAAGACACAGAGATGACCACAGTCCACCTTCGTGGCTGCTGGGCCCATTCACCAAGAAGAAAGGCCATGCCTTGGGGACATGAAGGGAATGTGACCTCTTGCTAGGACAGGTGTGAGTATGGCCAGGCCAGGTGGCCTCAAAATGGCCCAGTGTGTCAGCTCTATGAAGACAGAAACACTTTTTATCCCTAGTGCCCTAGCTGTGTGTGGCACGCAGTGTGCTCTCAAGAGATTTTTATTTGGTGAAAGAATAAACAAATGAGGAACATAATGAAAATTTGAGTTAAACGTTTTAAAAAATGAAAACACAATTAAAGGTGTTAAAACACGTGTGATGGGTGAAGAAAATTTCATACATCGTAATTCTTTTTCTGGAAGGTCTGTGTGTATTCAGGAGAGTGACCTATGTGTGCCCGAAACACTTGCCCACTGACCACTGATGTGCGTTTGAAGTGAGGCCCCCGCAAGACTCTGCTGAGCACCGGGAGCCATTCTGGTGCTCACACAGGGGTCAGACTGGGGGCTGAGCTGAGTGCAGGGGAGGAAGTGGGGGTGAGGTCTGAGTGCCACTGGAAAGAGATACTTCAGGTTGAGAAATAACTATGGGGGGCTATGAAGTGGGGTGCTGTGGTGTGTGCGGTGTAAACCCAGTCCACTCCTTCTCCCAGGAGATACTTGGTGGGGGTTGCTTGGCTGAGTCAAGTGTTTCTGTGAGGGGCGTGCATGAGGGGAAATGGGCAAGTGCAGGGCTCGGAATGGGAAGAGAGATGCTCATGCAGATGTCAAGTGGACCAGGAAGGCCTGCTCACCTGTGACAGCCTATTAGCAGCTGACTGGGCGTGCATCGGGTATTGCCTCTGTAATCCTCTCAGGGCCCCTTTGAGGTGAGAACTAGTGTTATTCCCATTTTACAGAGGGTGGAATTGTTTCACAAAAAAAGATGAGTGTTTTGCTCGTGGTCTCACAGAACGTGGATGCGAACCCAGCAGGGCTCCCTCAGGGCTCACACTTCTGACCAGCTCCATAGTCCCAATGCCATGTAGTATCGATTACTCCCCGACAGGGAGAAGACAGAGAAGTAATTCCCAAGTTAAATTCAAGATGGCAGTCAGAATCGTAGCTTAAAAAAAAAATCTAACATAAGCAAACTCCAGAAATACAGAGAAGGAGAGAGGTCAATGAAATAGTGAATAAGGAGAGGTCGGTGGAAGCCAATTAGGAACGGACAACAGAATCCAGGGCCCCTTCCCTGACTCAGAAGGGCAGCCACTGCTGCAGAATCCAGAGGACTCACGTGGCCAGGAGGCCTCCGTGTGGAAAGAAGAGGCATCTCCTCCTGGGCCGAGGGAGGGATCAAGTACGCAATCATCCACCCGTGTGTTCTCTTAGCGGGACAAGCTCCCGGAGCCCTGATTGGTCAGAAAAGGAGGTGGGAGGAAAATAGAGCCTCTGCTCTCCCCACTCAGAAAACTTAACCATCAGTAAATCCGTCTTCTACCGTGTCAGGGGTACCATCCCAGTCACACTGGACACTTCCTAAGGACTGGGTTGGGCCCGTTCACTGTGGTACCTAGCATTTTAGCACATGTCCCGCGGAGACCATCGGTTGTAATATCCTCGTCTAAAACAGGGAGAACACGAGGCCTAAGTCATCAGAGGGGTTTTCCCAAGGTCTCCCCGTGAAGAGGGGCTGCCCCGCCAGTCCTGGAGCCCTGCCCTAGGCTTTCCCGCCATTCTCCGCTGCATCATTCACGATCTCGGAGGAGCTCCCGAAAAATCTTTATGTGACCTCAGAGTGGGAGGGACAAGCAGGGGGTGCAGAGATCGCCCCCATATTCATTCTCCTCATCCTTCACATAATGATTCTGAGAGTGTGAAGGCCAGAGAAAGGACCCTGTTTTCCAACTTCCTTGTTACTGATGGCACCATGTGACTAGGCGCTGGCCAGTGGGTGGCTAGCAGAAGTGCTGTGCACAATCCCTGGGCCAGGCTTCCCCTTCCCTTCTTTCTCTGTCTGGGACCTGAATGCTGGTGTGTCCGGGAGCCACAGAGGGCCATGAGCACGAGAGCACTGGGAGACACAAGTTGGAAGGAATGCCGCGTCTGAGTGCCTTGGAGCCTCCAGTCCCCGGGGGAATCAACTTTCTCTCTTGTTTACGTCTTTCTTTATTACAACAGGCCTCTATTAGAGGAACCAATCCTAGACTCTAACCCAGAGGTGTCAAACTCATTTTCACTGGGGGCCACATCAGTCTTGGATTGCCTTCAAAGGGCTGAGATAATTTTAGGACTGTAGAAATGTCACTACTCCTTAACTGTTAAGGAGTTGAAATTACATTCGGCCCTTTGAAGGCAACCTTGAGGCTGATGTGGCCCCCGGTGAAAATGAGTTTGACACTCCTGCTCCAACCCATAAAAAGTATGTTTTCCTTTTAAAATTACACTCCAGTGGCAAGGCATTTTCTTTTTTAATGAGTGTGGGTGATTGCATCATAAAAGAGAAACTGGAGGAAGAAGGTGTGCACCGAAGGACGAATGCACTCCGATAGAGATGAGATGAGAAATGACTCAATGACATCGAGAGAGAGAAAAACCCAGGAATCAGGGAAGCGTGGAGTGTGCATTTGCTCCGAGGACCTCCTTTTCAGCCTTCTCCACCCTGTTCGGCATCCCGGGAAACTGGCCCCTATGTACCTGATCCGCGGGATCCTGTCCTGGTTTCTGGCTAAACTGAGCTGCCAGGAGACTGGGGGACAGGGAAGGAGAGATTTGCGCTTTTCATCTGGCTCACTCCCTGCTGGGTGGTGTGTTGGCAGTGGCCCTGCCGCTCCACCAGGCTGGTGGTCCTCTCCTATTGCTATGATCACAGCTCTGCTTTCTCTGTGTAGTTGCTCCTTCTCTGGCCCCTTTCAGCCTCGGGGTGGGAACAATGCTCCACTCTTGCTTGCCTCAGGGCGCTTCACCATGCATTGCCACTTTCCCTTAAACCTGCTCAATGGTCCCTCATGAAAACTCATTTATCCCAGCTTGGGCTGTTTACTCCTGGGACTCTGCCAGATCCACAAGAGAAAAGAATTTTTGAAAACAATGAGATCTGGGTTAATAGGAGTTTTTGCCCTGGGAAGCAATGCTTACATTTTTACTTTGCTCCCTAAATTAATGTAAGGGGCAATACACTTTCCATGACAACAGATCTGAATGGTTGGAATGAAGTGGGTGCCTATGGGGAGATGGAGTGGAAGAGAGAAAGGTTCTGGTTGACTCCATCTGCATCTCTGACCATCGGAGCTGCTGCACGCACAGGTGCTAGCGGAGAGCTTCGTGTCTCCTGCCTCTTCCTGAAGGAAGTTCCTGCATGTGCGCCCAAACTGGAATCACAGGGATAGGAACTTACAGCAAAATCTGTAACTGGCTTTGAACCTAAGTCAGTTCTGGGTATGTATTCTTACCTTTCTTCCATTCTCATCATAGGAGAGCTGACTTGTGCTGAAGGGGAGAGTCTTTCTGGGATTGAGTGATGCCAGAAGACGCTTCTCTGTCCTCTGAGCCGGGAGAAGTGTGCAGGAGATGGTGTGAGAGCTGGTGACCAAGCAAGGCTTATCAAGATCCTGGACAGATCTTGTAATTTCCTGTGCAGGAACTGTGGGCCAGTAGGAGCCCAGAGCTGCTTGAGATATGACTCCTTACCAAGACGTTTCTCATCATTTGCCCCACTTCCACTCATGCGTCAGCCACTCCCATCCTACCCCTGTGTGGTCATCTTCTCGGTAAGTGCTCGCTGTTGTGGCGCCTGAGTGGACAACTGTGAGCCTGGAGAGCGACGTCAAGCAATGTGAGTTTGCACTGTGACACTTTAAAACTGAAGAATAAAGTTTATCATAGAGCAAAAGTTCACTGTGGCCTAAACCCACTTTTTTGCTTGTTAATTTTAATTCTCACAGTATTATGCATTCATGTGTATAATTTTTTCCCAACTGATAGAGAAGTAGATGCAAGGAAACAGTCTCCCCGAATCCCATTCTCCAGAGGCCACCCATTCTTATTTCCTTTATTATTGTTTGCTTTGAACCCTAAACTTAAAATTACATGTTTAATTTATCAGCATTAAGAAGTGGATCAGTTGACTTCCCATGTAAAACGTAAGGACTTCAGTATACATAACATATTCTTCTTTTTCCCTCTTCCACTTTATATAGTTTTAGAATGTATTTTTATTTGGTGTAAATATTAAAAATTTAACTCTTACCTCCTATATTTTCCTTTCATGTGCCTCATGCTAGTCAAATTAACTTACTTGTTATTTTTTTGAAATGTCATTTGAATTGGAAACTATTTCAGATATTCAGAAAGTTCTTCAATGGGCTGAATTGTGTCCCTCCCCGGCAATTTCATAAGCTGAAGTCCTCACTCCCAGCATCTCACAATGTGACTACTGGGAGACGGTCTTTAAAGAGGCAATTAAGTTAAAACGAGGTAATCATGGTGGGCACTTATCTAACACGACTGGTGTCCTTATAAGAAGGTTAGGATGCAGATACACGCACAGGAGGAAGACCATGTGAGGACCGGGAGGAAGATGCCACCTATTTGCCAAGAAGAGAGGCCTCACAGCATACCAACACCTTGATCTCAGAGTGCCAGTCTCCAGAACTGTGAGAAAATAAACTCTTGTTGTTGAAACCACCCAGCTGTGGTACTTTGTTACAGCAGCCCCGGGAAACTGATAGAGACCTTTGGTGGCCCAGGCCTTATTTCAGGCGATGGAATGGCCGTGTGGAAGACAACCGTGAACTAGAGCATGGCCTTTTGGCACTTATCCTCAAAGGTCTGTACGCGCTTCCTCGGACGGTAAATACAGACAGAGAAGAGAGGGAGTCTGAAGGGGCCTTCACTCGTTAGGAGTCTGGAGGAGGAGTTGGATTCAGACAGCCGTATGTAGGGAAACTGATCAGTGAAACAGGAGTATCGGAATTAGACCCAAATGCATATGGGAATTTAGTATATGATTAAAAAATGTATGTTAAAGTAGTGGGTGTAACGTGAACTATTCTGTGAATGGAATTGGGATAATGGGTGGTCATCCAAAATAAAATGAAGTTGAAAACATACTTTATATATGATGTTAGGATGAATCCATATGTAATCCAAATACTTAAAAATGAATATTGAAGATATACTAGGTCCTGGAGAAACCATAGGGAAATTCTTTTTTTACTCAATGTTGGGAAAGACTTTCAAAGTGTAGCACGAAATTCAGGAGGCATTAAGGAAAAGACTGATAAGGACAAGAACATACAGACATTTCTTTTTGTATGACATCAACCATCACAATCAAAAGATTAAAAACGAGTTGGGAAAATATTGGTAACGCATATCAAAGACAAACCACTAATTCCTCTATTTGTAAAAGTTCCTAGAAAATGATAATTCAAAATCCAACAAGCCAATAAAAAATGATTATAGGTCATAAATACATAATTCCTCAAAAATAAAAATTACTGTTAAACATATGGAAACATGCAAACACAATAATAAGAGAGATAAAAATTAAAATTAGACAAACTTATATTTTACTCATTGAAATATAAAAGACCATAACATTTGGCAGTGTAGTTCGTGAGACATGGAGTGAGACAATGCACTCACATACATTTCTAGTGGGACTGAAGGTTGATAGGGCCCCCGGGGAGGGCTATTTGCAACATATATAAACACATATGAAGTATCATACTTTTTCTCCCTATAATTCCTCTAGGAATTTATCCTAGAGATATATCTGTTCATGTGCAAGAGAAATATATAGAAAGTTAGTAAATGTAGGATTATTTGCAATGAAAATATTGGTCAACAACCGAAATCACCATCAATACTGTGCAAATTATGGTCCATCCATACAATGGAATACTGTGCAGCTATATCAAAAGAGCAACAAACCTGATGGGGAAGGACCTCCAAGATACATGAAGTTAAAAAAACCCAGAGTGCAGAACAATGTGCATTTGTATGAGGAGGAATAAATATACATTCATATACATTATATGTATTATACACAATATGATGTATATATTATATATTACTTTGCATACAAACATCTATATATGCTTGTTTCAGCATTAAATAATTCTGGAAAGAATTTGAGAAACAACTGTAATAATCATATTTATCTTTGAGGAGAAGACATAGATGTCTAAGGAAACAAAATGACAATTTTCTTTTTTTAAAAAACATTTTATTAAATATACTATTAAAGTTGTCCTGCTTTTTCCCTTTTTTTCCTCCTCCACCGAGCACCCCGCCCCCACTTCCTCAGGCAATCCCCCCACCATTGTTCATGTCCATGGGTCTTCCATGGCTATTCTGCAACTACCTATTTGTACTTCTTAATCTCCTCACCTCTTCACCCATTCTCCTCCTCCCCCTTCCATCTGGCAACCTTCTGGTAACTATTTTTCTCTTCCTTTTAAGAGCCTCTCTTTATCTTTAACTTTGGGCTTTTAATGATGGTGTGTCTACATGAGTCAATGCCTATGGTAAAATATCCTAGAATTATACACAATAAACATGTATGCATGCAAAAACGGGTGAGATCTGAGTAAGATGTGTGGTATGGACAATTATATCCTACCCAGGTCAGTTTCTTGATTTTGAGAATGCTCTATATTTGTGTAAGATGTCACTGTTGGCAGAGGCTGGGTGATGGGCACATGGGAACTCTCTCCACTAATTTCGCAACTCCTTGCTGGTCTATAGTGAATTCAGAATGAAAAATTTGTTGGAGGACTACCTACATGGATATTGCAGGGACCCAGAATGAGGACAAGGTTTATGTTGGAGAGCAGTTTGTGAACCAGGCATGTAGGCCAGGAGATAATATAATAAGCATTCACATAACCCTTATTAAAATTATGCATGCATTAAAATTTTGTCATATTTGCTTCTAGTCTGTCTTTAAAAGTGAATAACTAAAATTTTACAGATTCAGCTAAAGTGTCAACTTTCACTCACTGGACTCTGCAGAACACCTGACGTTGGTATGCGTTATTCTCCCATACATGTAACAGGATGTTAAAAATGGTTTGATCTAAATATCAAGATACTATAGATACTGCATTTCAAAAGAGGTAGGAAATGACATGCAGAATTTAAGTAAAAGATTTCTGAGAACTGGTTACCAAGTCTTAACCCATCATCCATATCAAAGCTGTAAACAATTAGAGTTGGATTTTTATGTGAGGTATAAAACATTGAGTTTAGTTTAAAGATGAACCATCTCTCCTGCTCCCAATGTGGACTTTTGCAGGCAAAATGACTTCAGCCCAGAAGAAGATGTTTCTTCTTTTGTTTCTCCTTCCCTACGTCCCCACACCCTTGTCATTGTTCCATCGGTTTGTTGTTTCTAGATGTGGTTTCTGACCCTGTAGGGTTGGACATATCTCAGAGTCAGTGTCAGGAGGCCAGGCATTTCCCTTTTCGCTCGTCCTGCTTGGGTGACCTTGCTGACTATATCTGGACTGGATGGTATTATCAAATTGACTCTAGCTCATTTTGCAAAATTTGTACCAACCTCTGTTACTTCAAAGCCATGACAGATACTGCTCATTGCTTACCACAGTTCAGCCTATGATCCTTCTTAAGGGGAATCTAGCAACCGTGAACATATATTTGGGGTGTCACAGGGAATAAAACTTATTTGCATATGGATCACCATTTTCTCTTGTTTTAATTAAACAAAAAAATTTTAATCCTCACTCGAGGACATTTTTTCATTGCTTTTAGAGAGACAGAGGAAGGGGGCTTGGAAGAGAGATAGAGATAAAGAAGTATTCATATGAGACAGAAACAGATTGGTTGCCTCCCATACAAACTCCAATGGGGGGAACAGAACCTGCATCCTAGGTATGTGCTCTGACCAGGAATTGAACCTCGAATGTTTCTGTGTATGGGACAATGCTCCAACCAACTGAGCCATACCTGCCAAGACTTGATCACCATTTTCTAAACAACCGTTGTACTTTTGCTAACAATGCCACTAAGAATTTCCTCTTCTCCCATTTTTATTTGTCCAGTTGCTGTTTATCTTTCCTTGCCTGTCTCAAAATGTTGGTATGGCTGGCCAAAGTGACACAGGGTACTTGCTTGAAAAATTATAGAGGTGTCAGTTCAAATTTCAAGTATTTCAAGAAATCTTTCTTGATCCACTTGCCACGACATACACATTTAGTAATGAAACCTTCTCCCTGTTCACTCCCATCTCTGTGTTTGTATCCTAGAAGGACTCAGAACCAACATACAAATATATAGGCACATATAAGGAGATTTCCTCTTCCACACTCTACTCTAAACTTTTGGAGAATAGGAACCAAATCTCATCTATTTTTATAATATTGACAATATTGGTGCCCAATACATATTTTACTATCAAATAGAAAGAGCATCAGACAATCTTTCTGAATTTCAGGTAGCTGTCAAATATAGCTTCAGGTGAGAAGACTGTATGCTCATTATTATAGTCAGGTGTAGAGACATGAACCTCTGAGGCTGCCTGACTTGCAACAGAAGTTGCCTCCAGTCCACGTGTGTGGTAAAGTCAAATCCCACCACCTTATTCTGACAACTGGTACCTGACCACAAATGGTATACAGTTCAGACTGGGATAGTCCTATAATCTCACTATCTGCTTGGATAGCCTAGACTGGACTTGTGACCCAGGTTGCTGATGGAGTCAGCACGAGACTCTAGGTTCCCTGACTCCTGCTCCACTACTACAAATCCGGCACTGGCAAGTTCTGCATTCCTGTATATTCCAGGGTTTCTGGATGCTAACATGGGCTGCGTGGAGACAAGGGTTCCTCTGCTGGAACACAGGGGTTGGAAATAGGTAGTGGGCCAACACCGGTGGTTGGAGCACCTGCAGGCAGGCACTCTTCTTGAAAAGCACTTTTATGAACTGTGTATGGGTTGATGTCGGAGTGCAGCCAACCTGACGAGGCATGCCACTGACATCAAAATGATCAGTTGCCTAGGTGAAACCCAACAGTCTTTGGTTCAAAAGTGAAATGAACTTTCCATACAGAGTTCCTCAAAGCTGTACAGTTGAAAGAATCATAAGACTCACAGGACTGAATCTTATAAGAA